TATGTATATCGTCACAAACAGAACTGCCATATATCTGTCTCTTATACACATCTAGATGTGTATAAGAGACAGGGGTGGGGGTAATGGAGCGAGGTTGCTGGAGAAGCAAAAGCAGTTTCAGCTTCGAAGTCGCGAACAAGTCGAACAGTATTTGAGCGGAAGAACGGGGGGAAGCCAGCGTCCTTGGTACGGAATACATTGGAACTTGTTTATCTCTGAGCATATATAGAGCTCAGCACCTGGTCCAGCGTCCTGTCCAAGGGAAGGAGTGGAAGGAGGGGAGCCAGAGGTCCATTCTGATAGCATGTCAGATTATTACTTAATGAATTGCACCCAGAGAGGGGAGCTAGACGGCAGCACCCGAGACGTGGCGAAGCCCGCACAAAATCCTCACGTCATTGCGTACACCACAGACCACAGATGCTGGGACTGATCCTGTGCATGAGGTGAATCCGTCGTGAAGAGGCAGTGGCACTGGAGGTTGACAATGCAACCAGGGATAGGGAGTTGGTTTAGGGATCAGCGTCCAACTTGAATGGCAAGGATGGACCCATTACTTTGCCCTCGAAACGGCCGGTGGGTGGGGACCCATTATACTTTGGCCGGGACAAGAGGGTTAATGCTGATGCATTCCGCATACAGAATCCACACGAAGTCTCGTCAATCAACACAGAGGAAGAAGAAGAATAGTGTGTACACATCTCAAAACATAGCCGCGTGTACACATCTCAGCTCACGCGGCAGAAGAAGAAGAAGAAGAAGAAGAAGAAGAAGAAGAAGAAGAAGAAGAAGAAGAAGAAAAGAGTAAGAAGAAGAGGGAGGGACGAAGAAGAAGACACCAAGCGCACGATGTAGTCTGCAAAAGATATTATATGATATCACCCAGACCCAGACCCAGACACGAGAGTAACCATGTCGAAAAACTATGGCTACCTTCGGGGGCGTGCGACCCTCAGGCTGGTGGACCTGACTGGACGCTGATTGAGCTGAGCTGAGCTGAGCTGAGCTGAGCTTGTCTGGGAATCGCTCGTGTCGCAGTGGGCGATCAGCCTGCTGACATCGAGTAGAAAGGGAACAAGATGATGATCAAGGAGTATGATGGGTCAGGATGAGGCCGTCATGATCATCTTTGATGATGTGGACGTGCGGTCTGGAGTGGTCGAGATCGAATCCGAATGTGCCAGGAGCACAGGCACAGTAATGATGATGATAGCCCTGGCGCATTTGGATTCGATTTCGACCGGTCACCGGTGGTCCTATCCATGGACAGGACCGCCGGTGACCGGACTGCATCGTCGGTTGTGTCACAAAGATCGGTGGAAGCTGGGTGGGATGGGATGGGATGGACTCCTTGAAAAAGCTCCTGCATGTCCAAAAAGAACCCGGGGCCGTAGGTCCCACTAACACGAATTAAGAGATACTGACCGTAGATAGCAGAGATCAACGGCCGAAATCTCCTAATTTGCGCAAGTGGGACCTTGCCCCCGGCGAGCACAAACAAATGGTCCGGGAGCGAAAGGGAGGAGGGCGAGAACGACAAGTTGTTTGTGCCCGTACCACGCACGAGGTTGAGCTCAATTCGTTTGGCCTGCCGAAGAGAAAGTAGTGTGTTGGGAGTGAAAAGTCTTGAGCGTAGGCCTTTCGAAGAGAAACTCAGGCTCCGCTCAGCAAAATGATGGGAAGTAGCGCACATCGCTTCCATTTTGCTCAACGGCCCCTGACGTCGCACGCTGTTCTCTCTCTCTCTCTCTCTCGCTCGCTCTCTGTGTGAGCATGGTCGAGCGCGCCGATTGCGGAGAGGGTGGTGTCCACGTCGTGGTCACGACCAATGATGTCGGGTACCCACACACACACACACACACGGAGAGAGAGAGAGAGAGAGAGAGAGAGAGAGAGAGAGAGAGAGAGAGAGAGAGAGAGAGAGAGAACAGCGCTCGCCAAGTCAGGCGCCGTTGGGTAACGTGGGAGCACCACACAACGAGAAAAATATTGGGGTGTATCTTTCCATCTTCTGCACAAGATTCATTCTCATTTTGGGAACTCAGGCGTCCTTGGCAAAATGAATGTAGCGCAAAATGAGAATGCATTATGCGCTAGAACATGGAATGATACAACCCATTATTTTTTGTCGGTGGTGCCTACAGGACTGCCGGCAGGGGGGGCGTCCTTTTTTAATTTATGACAAAAGTACGGCCGTGATCTACCTGCCGTGTGTGAGAATCGCACACACAAACAGACACAAAAACGAAAGTGAAGAGAAATTATTATGTTTTTTTTTTTTTTCCTTCTTTTATTCATTCGTTTGAAAGGGCCACGACCTTGAGATAGTATAATATCATTGCACTGACATGCATCACGTAATTCAGAATTATTTCGTTCTGTCAGAATTATTTTTTACTTTTGTATTGCAACCCACACGCAAGTCCTTTTCTTTTTTTCTTTTCTTTTCTTTTCTTTTCTTTGCTTTTTTTTGCTTTTTTTTTTTTTTTTTTTTTTTTTTTTTTTTTTTTTTTTAGAACGAAACTCCAATCTATTCGTGGGGAGCAACTCCTACCTCCTACCTAGTACACTGTATTCAAACGGAAGGTCATCTGAAACGCAATCAGATGCGACACTGACTGGCCCCCGTTCGAATCCAAATGCAATCAGTGTCTCATCTGATTGCGTTTCAGATGAGCTTCCGTTTGAATTCAGGGTACTACAGTCTTCCCCCGAATACAACGCACGGTCATTATTGCCGAATTTTGTCTATCTTTCGGTCTACATTCAGCTATAATGACCGTACGTTGTATTCGGGGGAAGACTGTAGGTGAGGAGGAAAAGGACTTGCATGTGTGTTGCAATACAAAGGCAATCGCGTCAGGGAAAAAAAAAGAAAAAAAAGAAAAAAAAAAGCGAATGTGGACCATGAATATTCTCTTCTTTTTTTTTTCCCGGAAACGACATGTGAGATTTGTGTGAGTTGGAGAAAAAGAAAAGAGAGAGAATGGAATTATGGTTTTGGAACAGTGAAGTAAAGAACAAAGAAAAGGGAAAAAAAATTGGGCTACTTCCAGATATGTGCACGTAGATACGGAGTATTGGTTTATTTGATTGATTAACTAATTAAGTAACTAACTAATTGAAATGATGATGGTTTATGAAAAACGAAGAGGAAAACAGAAAACTTGCGCACTGCTGCTTGGTCACCTTACACGCTTGCGGCCGACATCGGCCCGTAAAACACGGACATGTGTGATGGCAAACAAAACTAATGACGCACATGAAGGGTTTTTTTTTTTTTTTTTGTAATGTTCGTTTCTCTGAAGTAGAAGCTTTTAGAGGATGGCATGTTTATTTAATGCCGACACAAGTGTCATAGCTTTACAGTCACACGCCGTTGGTCTCGTCCTTTTTCTTTTTTCTACCTTTGTCTCGCGGGAAAATAGCGGGCCTCGGGTGGGCCTCCGACCTTTTCCGAGGCCCCTTTTTCTTTTTTCTACCTTTGCCTCGTGGGAAAATATTGGGCCTCGGGTGGGCCTCCGACCTTTCCCGAGGCCGAACAAACAAAATGACGGCCGCCTATCAGATTTATCATCAATGGCAGCCTTCGTTGGGCCTGGCCTCCGGAATTTGAGGAGTTTGGGACATCATCCACTTTTCCCTATTTTCCCAACACTGGCGGAGGTACTAGTGGTTTAAGAAAGGCTAATTTGAGGAGTTTGGGACATCGTCCACTTTTCCCTATTTTCCCAACACTGGCGGAGGTACTAGTGGTTTAAGAAAGGCTACGCCGGTAGTCCTTCACACATGCCATGTACCACGTCCTGGGCATGCTAGGCGCTTGCCTTCACACATGCCATGTACCACCGTCCTGGGCATGCTAGGCGCTTGCCACCTAGAGATAGCCTGTTGGTCCCCCGACTTGAATTGGCATTAAACCACCAGTACTTGGCCCAGCTATGGGCCGCGGTGCATCCTTTAAGGCGCTGTGCCTTTAGGGCTGTGGGCCCGGGCGCGTTGGCAAAAATTGGTGCGCAGGGGTATTCCAGGCTCGGCATTGATAGCTGGGCCAAGTACTGCTGGTTTAAAAAGCAGTCTCTGCTGATGTTCATAGGGGTAGGGGTAATCCGGGGGGCACAGCGACTGGGCACTCAGATGATGCCCGATCCCTCTGCTACCAGCTTACTCCCCCCTGGCCGTTGGCCGCCATTGGGGGTTCCCTAAGGCAATAAGGCCACCCTGGGCTGAAAAAAAGGGCCACCCGGTGTCAGATCAGACACGAGATTGAATTTACCTGGGCGGGTTAGTCCGATGATAGTACCTCACAAGGCCCTTCGTGGAAGGGCTACTCCTCACCCCTTCGCGAAATGCTTCCTGTGGCCATTGCCCCTGACACAGGGGTCCTGACAGTCGACCTGCCTTGTCCTCTAGTGTTGGCG